ATCATGTCACTTAAAGAAAGAAAGTGATTAGTAAAATAAGTGACAAATTTTACTGTGAAATTTGTACCAAATAAATTGTACTGGAAAGAACAAAATGCAATAAGGTAATCTTATTACCTTAATAGGATATTTCAAAGATCCTACCAGTACAAAATTTATTTGATACAAAATATTCTAAGTCACACATTTTACTACTTCACTACACAAATTGAGCAGGTTCACGCACTCAGCTTTACAAGTGTAGTTGCAAGACAAGGCCAATACACTCAGAACGCAAGAGGAGAGAAGACATCTGATTAGGTGAATAGTGAAGAGTTTCAGAATAGGCATGCAACGATAAGAAGGCCTAAGGTATGGGTGTTATCTTCGTACAAAGCAAGTGGTCTTCAAAAGACAAATCCTTATCCTGCTCCAACACAAGAAGACGCAAGTACAATACTTTGGACGTCTAGGATTAAATCCTCTTAACCAACGGAGGAGATTAATCTGCTGGAGATGCCTATAAAAATAGGCAGAAGCATGAGATCAAAAGTAAGTCATTGAGTTCAAAGCAAGTGGTTCAGTCATTACACTACGCATATCCAGCAAAGGAAAAAGTGCTTGAACACTCTGCTTTGACTCATGCTTCACTAAGCTCTTAGACTAGATCATTCATTGTAACATTTATAGAGCTTAGGTTTTAGTTGGCGGTTAGACACTTCGTGAATCAATTCATGTTGTTGTAAACACTTAGGAGAACAGTTGTTCGGATCCTAAAGTGTGGTTAGATAGATAGAGTACCTTTTGATCCCCACTGGATCAATTGAGAAAAGTCTAAGGACTGAGTAACTTTGAGTGGTGTTATACTCATCGTGAAAAACCTTCAATCTAGGCCAGAGTTGTCAAGGCTAGATTGGCACTAATTGTATTGGGCTGAATACTTTAGTGGAAATCCATCTGAAATAGGGTGGGACTGGATGTAGGAGGATTACACCACCTCTGAACCAGGATATATCGTGTGTTGATTTACTTTCATACATACAGAAGCACACACCAAACACATCTCACTAAAGGATTGTAGTTTGCCAGCAGCATCCTAAGCAGTAGTCTTCATCGACTGTACTGCTTAGCCTACTGCTTAATAACTCACTCTCCTTGAGAGTGTTTTCCACTAGAAGTTATCTTACACTCAGAAGGTGCCTCAGCAGTACCCTGGTCTTCACCCTCCTGCTGAGCCCACTGCCCATTTATATGTGTCTTTCCGAACGCCATAACAAGCCAGAACAAAAAGCCATCCAAGAGTCATCCTGTTCTTAACAGTTGCCTCAGCAGTAACCTGCCCACCAGCCGACTGCCAACTCAGCAGTTGCCTGCCAGTCAGCAAACTGCCTGTGCAGCAGTAGACTAAGCAGTTATCTGCTCACCAGTCTACTGCCAAGCCTACTTCCTCTTGACACCAGTCTAAACATCATCTAAACTAGAAAGTTATCTCACACCAAGTATAAAGAGGTTAAAGACTTCCGATGTGCATCTATTAATCTCTTAAAAGATTATAGATCAACTCATCTAGAGGGAAAACTTCATAAAGTTGAAAAAGATTTAAAAGTCTATTCACCCCCCCCCCCCCCCTCTAGACTTTTACCTCTATCCGGGACCATCACAATCTGTCCTTCCCTGAGCTTTGAGGGCGTCTGAGCTTGGACAACGGCCATTAATGACCGGAGAGACTACTGGGAAGATGGCAACCGTCATTCCGTCAACTGTGGTTTTGACTCAGGCGTAGGTGTTGACAGAGGGGCTGAAACACGAGGAGGCAGACTCTCTGGCTGACAACATCCACCGCCGGAAACAGAGGTTACGAACGTGATGACTGTGAAGAGAGCCTGGACTTCCTAATGTCGACCGTGAGCTGCCATATCTCATAGTCCTTCTGATTTTTTATTTTTGAGAACACTTTTGACTAGATTTTTGTTCGAATCAATTTTCAAGGTGTTTTTTTTATAGGATTTCTTACTTGATGGAGCCCAGGCTGTGGTGCAGGTGTGTTGCCGTATGCTGAGGTCCGGTGGAGGAGATATCTGGAGCCTGGTGTACAGCGGTGGTGTTTACGACGGACGGCAACATAGATCTTAGGTTTCCCGATTTCTTCTCGACGTTGACCTTCACAAATCTGTTTTTGCTGGGATTTCAGAACAGTTTTTTTTTTGTTTTTCCAGAACATTTCTCGGTCGAATTTTGTGATTGGGAAGAATTTTGTGTGATTTTGGTAGATTTTTTGGTTAAGCGGGGAGGGTTTCTCACTTGATTGTGTTCAATCTCTCAACGAGAGCACCAAATGATGGATAGTCTACCCGGGGGGTATCTTATCCGAAGGGTTATTGCGGGAATAATTTAGAGAGAAGTCAGAGTAAAATAGGAGGAGGGAGAGTCGATTTATTAAATGAACTCAGCGTGGTTTACAAGGTGAATAAGAGCTGCTATTTATAGCAGCAATAAATGCGATGAGAGTACACGTGTCGGCAATCCAACGGCCGAAGGGTCACATCAGCCGGGTGGCACCGGCAGTGGTACGTCCACCGCATTGAATGCGGTTGGCGGATGTGACGTGGCATTAAATGCGGTGGTTGGCTGTCTCTAAAAGGAATCTTCGATGATTTAGCGTTTTTGGCCGTAGGCTCCTTGTGTAGCCGAGGGCTCCATGTAACCAAGGACCCCTGTGTAGCCGAAGGCCTTGTGTGACCGAAGGCTTGGTTCAGCCGAAGGCCTCTCCGATGCCGAGGGCTTGATAGTGCCGAAGGCTCATGTTTTTCGCCGTTTTCTCCCAGTAGCTTCTTATGCCAGAGAAGGCTATTCTGTGAGTTTTGGAGCCTTCGGCCAAGGAGGCCGAAGGCACCCCAGTATGCATTTTGGGCTATTTTGGGGCTTGGGCCGTTGCATTTGGGCCTGAGTTGTTCTCTGGGCTCAATGGATTTGTGTAGGAGAAGTGGAAGTCTCTGGACCGGGGGTTCCTGGACCATATACTCCATCAAACATGTTCAAACAAATAAACTATTAAAAATGAACTCAAGTTTTTCTTAATAAACTTTTAAACAAATATTCGAATCCAATTCGAATATCAAATACCTTCACCAATGAAATTGAAGTTTAACTTACTATTAAATTTGATTTATCAACAATCCTAGACTCCTGGTCATTAGTTAGGTTGCCAATGGGAGAGGAAAATCAAGACGGGTTAGCAAATGTCGTGTTCCGGAGGGAGGAGGAGGTTTGGCTAAGGGCCACATTCTTGAATGGTACCCACTTTTAGTTGATTTTAAATGCTTATTCCTAAAATGTTTTTTTTTCATATGCTAGTATTATACATAGTATGTAGTATACTCGCTCCATATTTTAAAGTTTGTTACAATTTTTTTGGAATGTATTTAAAAGTGTGCTACACTTCCGTTTTTGGTAAGATCATCACTTTATCTTTTATAGAATACTCAATTACCCTTATATTTCCTACCTTTTATCTTCTTTTTCCTACGTTTACATTTTCTCTCATATTTTTTCTACATTATTCATTACCCCTACTACTTTACTCCTAGAATAATTTGTCAAACCTAATGTAGCATTCTTTAAAATACGGAGGGAGTAATAAAGAATACAATGAAATGAGAAAAGTTCAGGTCCGAAATTCCGGACCAAAACCTCCGCCTGGCCGCTGCCTTTTCAAGTGATTTCCGATGGAATTTTTTGACCATATTCTTCATGAAGTGTAAACTATGTCCACCAAATTTCAGCTAAAAATTCAATAGAGAAGGCAGACAAATAAAATTTTGAAAATAACTGTGTTTTATAAGTATATTTTGGACTAGTTATCTTCAAACAATTATTTGACTACCTTCTTGATTGAATTTTTAGCTTAAATTCAGTGGGCATAAAATAGACTTAATGAAGAGCATGCTCAAAATCTTTCATCAAAAAATTACACCGTGAAGTCGTGAACCACCTCAAAGGCTCAAATGGTGGCGGCCAAACGGCAGTTCACATCAAAAAGTCCTGACCGGAAGATTACTCATAATGAATTTTTCCACTGGATTGATTATACGATAGTATATGAGCTAATGAGCATGAATTTTTAATATGCTTTTCCTTTAATAGTATATCAACCTAAAATAACTTACCAAATGTATAATAAATTGGTATTTGAGATTGAACCATTTGAATTGCCATATGGAGGGAATGAGACTTTGGTAAAATTCAAGACTAGTGTCTTGTGATCCATCTATTTGTTTGTTTTCATTACTATCTGTTGCTAAAAGATGCAATGCAATTTTGTACAATGATAGTACAAAGGATGTTGCTATGCTTTTCCTCTTTAGACACCTTGACAAAACATCTAAAATTTCTCTACGAACTAATTTGCAGCTTTTTAATCTATCATCCATAAAGGGAAAAATATTCCAATTAACATAAAACAATTCCAATTAACTCTGCTCAATGTGAAGTATTCCTCAAAAAAGTGAAATGACCATTAACCTTATTATTGGAGAAAACCTTCTATACGCATTTTACTGTTGTACACACTTTTACACGCGTCTGTGAGAATTTTTTTGTCTGCGAATAATCTATTCACAAACGAATCATGTTTATAAAAGTGTGTACCATAGTAAAATGTGTACAAAAAGAATTTATGTTTTCTTTAATCTTCTCCCTCGAATGATCCCACAGCTTGGTAGCACTTTAGCAGACTGTAAAAACCTTTAACAAGTAAAAAAGAAGTGAGAATTTAAATTGTTGCTATTTTAAAATATTGAATTCAAATGCTGAGGAATGAATTGCATTCCCAAAAGGCCAAAAGAGTCCAATAGGAGTCAGTCATTGTGGCAGGGAGTAGCCAGTTGATTATTAAGTGTATTGCACCAAACCCCATAGTCCTACCAGACATACAGTCAAACTGAGAGCCTCATCAATGTGCTCCACAGCCAGGCAGATCACACACAAGACATTGCATATCAACCACAACAACCAAACAAGCCTTAGTCAGAAAAAGCCAACATTAGAGAGGCCATCCCCTCTAAATTCACTGGATTAACTGTGAAACCTTCACAAATCCCAATTTATATACACAAAACAGTGCTATGTAAACCACAACACCACTAGGAGGTAACAATTCCTAAAAAAAGTTCCCTTCCTCTTTTTCTCTGTTTCTGCATTTTTTCCACAAAAATGACCTCACAATGTAAAAAATAAACATCAAATATATCTAACATAATAATACTCATAGGAAAGAAAAAAACAAACAAAAAAAACAACTATGTTCTGATCATCTTCATCATCATCATCATCATCATCATCATGTTTTTCCTAAAAAATTCACCTTCAAAGAGTTGTCAAGAAGTCTTAAAACATTTATAACAGCCGACGGCTTCTCCTCAATGCTAATAAGCATACAAACCACTTCTTGATCATATCATTGAAACCATCCAATTCGTTTTGCACCGGCAGATTTTCTTTTTTCAATCTTCCAGCTTCCTCCTCTTTGCAATGGGATTCTCATGAGAGGATTCATCTTCACATGACCCAACTCCCAAATCATCAGCAGTTGAATAGCTCAAGCAGGAGGCAGCCTCTAGAACACCGATAGGACTGTTTGGTACACTTACATGTGATGTTCTTTGAATCGTTAGAAAATTGCTAGGAGAAGAAAATTCTTGCATTGCTTCCACACATCTCATCACTCTCTCCTGAAGATTTATACACAAATTTGAAGCGTTGGTTAAATATTTCATGATATAGAGCAATCTACCTTTTCTATTAAATCCTATCTGGACTAAGATGTAGTCCATATTCAGATGTCTATTTGGATCAAGTGATATTTGTATGAGAACATTTACTTTGTGTTCTCTACAAAACAGTCCAAATTGAGTAAAATAATCAATATAATATTATTGGGTGTATATTAAAGCTTAACGATTAAGTCGGTTTTTTGAATGAATGAGGTCCTACTTTCAAATAGTTGCAAGTTAAATGACTTAATGGTTGAACGATTGATTAACCATTGAAGTTATAATGCTATACCAAAGAACGCCAGGATCCGTTTGGAACCCGAAAATGCTACACAGTATGTCATGAAAATAAAGTGGAAGTTTAAGGATGGAAAACATTGGGAAGTAACTATAGCAATAATATATTTCATTCAAACTAAACAAATACGTAGTACCTTTTACACTTATGCGGGAACATTTCTTTCATATAACTCTATTACATAATGAGCATTAATTATACATGAAAGAAAATCTTTTAAAAAGTTAGAGAAAATTTGATTTATCCGTGGCATTTCCCTAGTTAAACTTTTTTTCAATAAAAAAATAGTAGGGCTTTACTCTCATTCCCTACAGTTTTCCACCCTTCCAAACATAGCCATAAGATATTTTACCTTTTGTATTTGGGGAGTAAGTGAACAAATTGCTTTCTCAATGTCTACAGCCTCAGTTTCTACTGCAACAGATATAGCCACTGCAGCTGCTGCAATCTCAGATGGCTTGAATTCTATGAAGTTAATCCCTGTCATTAATTACCACCTAAATATTAGTCTAGGAAATGATAAAGCATTCAATCAAGATCACAAATGTACATCTGAACAAATTTACCCTTAAGTGTGCTCAGTATGAGTTCTGTGCATTTGACAATGGATGAACATGAAGCAATTTGATCACTGTTTATCTTCGTGAGGTAGTAATCCATGAATGAGAATGGAGTGACTGCCTGCATTCTCCATTTAAGTGTGGTCAACACAAGAAGCTCCATTCTTTGAATGGTTCTACCTTCAAAAACATACTTGCTATCCCCAGTCTAGTAAAACAAAAACCATCACATGTTAACAACAAAATCTTGATTTAGGCCACTATTAGAAAGTATAATTAGTTAATTTCCTAAAATATTCACCTGTAAATCTAGAGAGAGGGGGACATCAGTTTCCTCCATTTTGGCTGCTATAGACAAACAAGCAACAGCTAAAAGCTGCATCATCCAGCTCTTGCTCTCCTATATAACAAGTTAAAAGTTCATTATAATGTGATTCATTTAGAGTAACTATATTGATTAGAGACACATTAAAGCTCAATGACATTGAGTAATAATAATAGTATACTTACAGGAAAATCATATGCAGACAGAAACCTATCAAGGTAACTCACAGCCAAATATGCACAGAGTGGTCCAAAATTGAAATGTGAGTGAACCTATTAAGCGAAACCACCATCATAATAAGATACATAATTAGATTAACCATAAACATCAATAATCATACTGCAGGAAAAAAAGTGAATGAACCAGTTTAGCAACAACAACAAAAAACAAATACACATAAAGCCAGACAAGAAAAAGAAACTTTTATCAAAGTCGCCCAAAAAAGAGCCTTAACACAGACCGTACTAATCGAGCATTAATTTATCATTATGTTCGATCAGTAAACAAAGTTCAAAAAAGGAATCTTGAGAACGAGATCATTATTAAGATCGAATCGAGGGTTAAAGAAACAAACCTTTGCAATCCAGTCAAGAACCTCATCTCTGGAGGCAACATCCACCTCCCCATTCCTCAATCTCTTCAGGTAATCGCATGAAGGCAAGTTTTCACTCTCCTTCCGAATCATCAGAGCCAAACACTCCTCACTCTGAACCGGCAACTTAACCAAACTCCGACGATTCCTACGAACCCCTGACCCATGCCCAACAACCCCATCGTCTCCCTCCTCACAGAGAAGGCTCGAAATCCCACAGTCCATACTTGGTCCCATCACAATCAACACCTTAAAAATTCGATCTTTAAGTTAAACAAAAGCTATTCACAGCCAAACCACTTGTTTTGATATTTTTCTTTAAATAAACATCTGAAAGACTGACTGCTAAGAAGATAATGATTCCTTGACGATGAAATACTAGGGACGGCTAAGATCAGTGAATAGATGTGCAAGAAACCGAGTTTGGGAGCTCAAAAGGGCATCTTTGGGATGGGGGAGGAGGGTGAAGAACAAGGGGAGCGGCTTGGAGAGAATGGAGAAATGAGGGTTGGGTTGTATATATACTGGCCTTAGGTTAGATTATGGAAGGAGAAGGGATAGGAGGGCGAGTAGAAAACATCCCTAGTAGTGTATATACACAGTACTTACTCGAGACTGGAAGAAATGAAAATTGGGAAGGTTAATAATGGGGAATGACGGAGAGAGAGAAACAGTGAGGGGTAGTTTGGGCATTTAAGAGGTTAGCATCATGGGTCTTTTGGCGATGGCCGTATATACGGAGTCAATTTTTAATGATTCTCACTCTCTTTTTGGTATTTCGAATCGAATTTTGTACACTTTCATAAAGCGAGACACAAAGCAGAATGATTAGTTTTTACACTTTTACTAACTTGGATTGGTTTATCATATATTCTCATCTTCCCTAAATAAACTTCTCGTTTTTTCTTATTGGCGTCGTCCCTAAATAAATGAGAGATTTTCCAAATATGAGCAAATAGGTTTGGATTTTCAAACCAGAATTGATATATATTTTTTCCCGAAATAATAGTAAATTAGTATTTATTGTCATCTTCTAGTATTATTGCCAAATAGTTGCGGTACAAGGCATTCAACATGGCAGTATTCACTATCATTAATGACAATATTTTCAATTATGTCAGTATTTTTCAACCATGATAACGACTCTTATTTCGGAAAGAAAAACATAGCATTCCTTATTTTGGAATTCCAAAATCTATTGTATTCATCCTTCTCTATTTGGTAAATAAATTAGGTAGATTCTATGGTACCCATACTTTTGTCCACATGGACCAATGAGAATGTAGCAGTTGAATTATTTAAATCTAAATTTAAATTGATAATGTGATGTGGTCTAATTAAATGAATAGTAGGTACGGTACCCCATTATTTAGAAGGGTACCAGAGTTGTCACCAATAAATTATATCGATTTATTTAATTACCTTTAAATAATAATGATAATACAATTTCAAATAGTGCCAGACAATGTAAAACTTTACAGTGAAATTTATCCCACACTGAAAGGAGGATTCAATAAATCAAAGGAAACAAAATATTTCTTTAATATGGAAGCTGAGATCTTTGTATGGGGAATGGAAGGAGTAGTTCTTTCACCCCAAAAAATTAAATACAATTTGCGTTTTATTGATAATAAAATTAGGTCATTCGTGTAAATAATTAAATTGGTTTTAATAATTAAGAGTATAAGTCACAAAATTGAAATTAAAATATGATTAAAAATGATACGCTAAAAAAGAAAATTAAATGAAACTATGCTAATTTAAAAAGATGTTAACTTTGTAAATCATTTTCCAAAAAGAGAGTACTACATCTATAAACAACTAGTGGAGGACCTAGGGGGCATGCCCCTCCCCCCCCCCCCCCCCCCCCAAAAGAAAAACAGTATTAACACTAAAGTCGTGGACTGCTGCACCCGCATTTGATCTACTTGGACAATATTAGTTTTAAATTTTGTTACATTTTCCATTTTAGGGTTTATTAAAAAGTTGGGAAAAGGACAAATAAGTCCTTTTACTGTTGTTGACGCATCATCTAAACTCATGTAATGAAAAATGATCACATAGATGCATTTATTGCTCAAAACACATCGCATAGGTCCCCTGACCGGAAATCAACCTGCTTAGCAATTTTTATTTATATATTTATATTTAGGTTTTTTGTCTTTTATTTTCTTCCTCTTCTTGCCATTCATTTATTCCACTTTTTTTATTTTTTATTTTTCACATTTCTTTGTTTTTCTCGATCTTTGAAAAACAAGGAGATTGTTACTAATTGGAATGAACACTGTTAACTTCTAACTTTGTAACATTGACACATTTACGTTTGTTAAAAAATACAAAAATTTATATAAATTTTCAAAACTATTTGCATCTAAAGATTTTGTCTCTGAACTTGGGCCATAGACAAAAAAATGTCAGTTGAAAATTTTCAATTTGATAGAAAATAAATACCGGTCGGAAAATCTAATTCAAAGACAATAAATGTCTAGGAGAGACAAAAATTGTGACAAGGCAAATAAAAATAAAAATTTACAAACAACAATTTTTTTTTTGCATAAAATGAATCTATAGATTTAGACTACTGATAAATAATGTTGATTGAAGAAATATGATTTTACAAACAATAAATGTCTGGTACAAAAAAATCATATAATGTAAGAAACTATATTTTATATATCCTATTTTTCAAAAAATTGTACTGATAATTTTTATATATAGTTAGAGCAACAAAAACAACTTGATTGGGTGGTTTTGTCTATGGCAAACAATTATTATCTATAAAATTAGAATTTTCTGAACGATGTATTTTTTTTTCTTTGACACAATTTTGTAGAAAAAAATTTGGTTACGAAGGTTTTTGAAAATGTGAATAAATAGTATATAAGATTATCTAGTCCAGAGCTTTTTTCTTTGCTCGAGACTATTATTGTCTATAAAATATGTTTTTGCGATCAAATTTTTCGTCTTTGACCTAAGTGTAGAGAGAAAAACTCCAGGTGCAAATGATTTTGAAAATGTCTAAAAGAGTGTATACTTTTTTATCAAACATAACTGTGTCAAAGGTACATAAATTAAAAATTAACAGTGTTCGTTCAAATTTAACAACAAAATTCACATTTATAAAAAATTCAAAAAACTTGGGATGATATTTATGAGTAAAATATTAAATAAATGAAAATTACTTTCAATATAAATAATAGCTTAGGGACTAAAAGTGTGATTCTACAAATATATATAAAAAACAACAATCCCCTCTATTTTTCAAAGATCAAGAAAAAAGCACAAAGAATAAAAAAACAAAACAAAACATTGGGATAGCTAGAGGGTGAAACAAGAAAAGAGGAGAACAAAAAAAACTCAAAAAATATTAAAAAAAACCTGCAATAACAGGTAGATTTTTGGCCAGGGGGCTATGTGATGTGTTTTAAGGAATAAATGCATGTATATGATTGTTTTTTAGTATAGGGGTTTAGATGATAGTTTCACAATAATAGAAAGGCTTATTTGACCAATTTTTCTTAAATGTTTGCTACATTTTTATATAAGTTTTTACTTTAAACACATACAATTATTCTTACTTTTTCTGATTTTATCTTTTCTTACATATTTTCAACGCTCTCTCCTAATTTTTCTACACTGTTCATCTTCTCTAAAATTTCTTGCTTAAGTAATGTGCTAAAGTCGTAGAAATCTTTAAAATAGGGTTACATTATTATTACTTAAAACTAGATCTCAAAGCAATACTATTTTGATATCAAGTTCTTTTATACTTGTATTACATTACAACTTTACCTCTGGTATAAATATTGAAATAAGCGTCACACAACTGAGCATTCCAGTCCACTAGGTGCAAGGTTACCGTGTCTAGCTAAGGTCTCGGGTTCGAAACCCGCTAGACACATTTAGGGGAGAGGAGGGAGGTCTTTCTCCCAATGATTCTTCCTACCTCCACAGAGTTGCTCAGCGGCTAAGAAGGGAGATGATAGAAATTCAGGCTCAAGTTCGCGTGGTGGGAGGACCCTTCTGGATTCAGTTGCAAGGTTATGGCCCTTCTGGATTTAGTTGTACGGGAACAATCCTTCCGGTTTCGTCCTGTACTACCAGTACCAATGAGGGTGACAATGATCATATCCGGATTTAACTATCTAAAGGCTTTGGAGGATAGGCAATAGACTCCAGGGTTAGGGAAGCGCAAGCACCGACACCTGAATCATAAAAAAAAGCGTCACACTGTCATTAGTACATTCAATGAGCAATTCTATGACTACTTTTTACATCATTTATCATTAAAGAGATCCTCATTTTAATTTAAGATGCTTATTTGATTTTTTACCCGAGGGGGGGTCAGGGACTGGAGGGTGGGGGAGTCTGAAGTAAACAGGACTGAAAGTCCTCTAGTGAGTTGGCGACAAGTTGATAATAATAATAATAATAATAATAATAATAATAATAATAATTATAATAATAATAATAATAATAATAATAATAATAATAACAATAAGAATAACAATAACAATAACAATAACAATAACAATAACAATAACAATAACAATAACAATAACAATAACAATAACAATAACAATAACAATAACAATAACAATAACAATAACAATAACAATAACAATAACAATAACAATAACAATAACAATAACAATAACAATAACAATAACAATAACAATAACAATAACAATAACAATAACAATAACAATAACAATAACAATAACAATAACAATAACAATAACAATAACAATAACAATAACAATAACAATAACAATAACAATAACAATAACAATAACAATAAGAATAACAATAACAATAACAATAACAATAACAATAACAATAACAATAACAATAACAATAACAATAACAATAACAATAACAATAACAATAACAATAACAATAACAATAACAATAACAATAACAATAACAATAACAATAACAATAACAATAACAATAACAATAACAATAACAATAACAATAACAATAACAATAACAATAACAATAACAATAACAATAACAATAACAATAACAATAACAATAACAATAACAATAACAATAACAATAACAATAACAATAACAATAACAATAACAATAACAATAACAATAACAATAACAATAACAATAACAATAACAATAACAATAACAATAACAATAACAATAACAATAACAATAACAATAACAATAACAATAACAATAACAATAACAATAACAATAACAATAACAATAACAATAACAATAACAATAACAATAACAATAACAATAACAATAACAATAACAATAACAATAACAATAACAACAACAACAACAACAACAATAATAATAATAATTTCTTAATAAATTATCAAATTATTGTGAATACTTGAAATTACATACTACTACGTAACAAACTAGACTAACGTAATTTCAAATTGAATAACCAAACTTATATACTAACACACTAGACTAAAGTAATTTCAAATTGAATAACTAAACTTACAAAAACTATCAATTTGGTCCTTGTTTATCACGATAACATCAATTAAGTCCTCATACTTTAAAACAAAATCAATCAAATCCATGAATTTTGAAGAACATTCAATTGAGTCAATTAGCGGGTTAACTACCATGTCGGCAGGTTACCCGCTGATGTGGTGGTCCATATGTGTGAACATCATCGGG